TGTACATTAAATGAAATTAAGTTGTTTCATTGCTTTCTCTGTCTTCAACCCCAACATTTTAGCTTTTCTTGTGCTTCAGGTCAGAACACAGCTCATTCCCTTTGAAATACTGGAAGAAAATCAAAATAATACAGCTTTAAGCACCTTTTTTACCATCATTGAGAAAATTGAATAAAACCAGCATATTATTTATTTATTTATTATGTTTATATTATTTGTATATATTGTATATATCTATAATATTTATTTAGGCTATGTATATTAGTGCTGTGTTCAAAATATCGATACGACAATGTATCGTCAGAGAGATTTGACGATACGAGTATCGATACAGCTGGCCCTGTATCGATACTGTGGCACGTGTGCAGCAGTGGACCACGCTTAATTTGTTTCAAATTTGAAAAGTGCGAGGTTTCCAAAAAAGAATGAATAGAGCATATATAGGCTACAACAAGGTTTAATCTGGCCGCAGAGGAAAACAACTGGGTTGCCTGATATAAAGAAACGTAATCCCCAAAACAGAATAAATTCAGACATAATTTAACTAAAATTAAAATAAATAACAAATACAAATAATACAAATCAAATGACAGTAGTTTATCAGTAATCCTAAAAAATCTGTGATCTGCGAGCAGCTGACCGACGCCTCCTCTGAGCTGTTGATCCAATCAATGTTAAAACGCCGATGAAAGCGGTAAGAATTACGTGAAACACTGCTGATGTTCGCGCAGTAGTGAGGGCTCTTTAAATTTTGGCGCTGTTGTGAAGACGCATGTCACGTGACAACATCAACATGGCGGATGTAGTACGTCCGAATTCCATTCATACTACTCTCATTCATACTATATAGAACGTACTTTTTTAACGGTCGAGTAGTACGTTCAAATTCAAAATGTAGTACCTACTAAGCAGTATGCGATTTCGGACGCACCCTCTCTCTACAGCTCTGGTTATATCTACTTGGAGAGGAGAACAACTTCTTTTGTGCAACGGTAGGAGCAATCGCGCCACCTAATGTTCGTGTTCTGTTGAAATACCGTAGTCCACACTGCAGTGGCAGCTTTTTGATTTACAATCTGTCACA